GTGGGAACGAAACCACGCTGAGACCTGGAGGTGGAGACGGATGACACCAGGCAAACGTTGATTTACTTCTGTTGGGGAATGTGACTGTTTGGGGGGGCTGTTTCTAACTTCCAATATTATGTGCGGTAGTTCCGGGTTGGGTCAGATCCGGAATGACAACAGACTTTGCCAATTTGATGCTCTCCTAAATAAAAGAAATTGTTTTGGAAAGTGGTCTTTGCTCTTTTCTTTTTAAACGGGTTTCATCCCTTGGAAACCTGACACGGGGCCAGCCAGGGGTGGTATTTGCCGGCTCTCCGAACTACCCAAAATTTCTGCTGCCGGTATGCCAGAACCGGCCTGACCCAGCTGACTATACTACCTTTGCTTGTGGCTCTTGAAGTGAGACTTGGCTGCAACAACGCCCAAACCCCCGTCACAGCCACGGCAATAGCGGTGAAGAGTGCGAAGTGCAGTCCGGCCAACCCGAAGTACCTGGTCCTCCATCTGCCAAGGAGCATTGCGAGCAGGAAGGTCTTAAAACCCAAATATTGAAGGTGTGACAAAAGGACGCACCCAGGAGATTTCGTCTTTTCAATTCTCTTTGCAGCCCAAAATCTGGGGAGATGTTTTGGAGGATCTCCAAAGGTTTTAGGTCTCCAGAGGTTCTAGGATCTCCAGGTCTGTTTGAAAAGGCTGAAAAGGGAGATGACTTAATGGGGTTTAGACATTTAAGAAATCTTGGCGAGGATGAAAAAGCACTCGAGCTGAACGCTTCCAGGCGTGTTTGGAGTGGGCTCCGTTCCACTTCCAGGTCGCCAGCAAGAGGTCAGAGGTCTTAAGCACAAGATGGGGAGCGTGTCCATCTTACAGCTGCCTGGGGTAGGACTGTGCCCCCCCCCCCAAAAAAATGGAGGTCCAGTGTGTAAATCCACAAGCAGAAAGGTTCATTGGCACCCAGGCAAAATCTGTCTCAGAAACCAGGTTAACCTTAGGTTAACTCTTATTAACCTAAGAGTCAATAAAAATTCTCAGTCATCGACATAATGTTTCCTGGATGTTGAGTCCTGGCAACTGGGCTTGCAGTTCTTCTTAGAAGTCCAACCCAGTTCAAGTCCAGTTCTTAGAAGTTCTTCCAGTTCTTCTAAGACTTACATGTTCTTCAAATTCTTCTTAGAAGTCCAGTTCCCCTGATAAGACCTTCCAATTTCTTCTTGGAAGTCCAGCCCAGTTCAAGTCCAGTTCTTAGATGTTTTTCAAATTCTTCTTAGAAGTCCAGTTCTCCCAAGAAGACCATCCAATTTCTTCTTAGAAATCCAGTTCCCATGACTCAACTTCCAGAGAGTAACTCAAGACCATTCTAGTTGGGTGGCAGGTCTATCCTGGTTAGGGTCCCACCTTCTCGACGTCCTCCTTGGTCCCAGGCACTTCAAGAGATCCCATGAAGACTGATCTCCCCAGCCCAGCCTGGAAACCCTGCCCTTGTCGCCTGAAACATCCCACGGAAGAGGAGACTCAACGGCACATGGCACACGCGTGTTGAGCCTGGTCTTTGGCACAGGAAGAGGAGCAGAGCCCCCTCTCCATTGAGTGTCTCCCAACGGCAAAGTGCGCAGGCTGTAATGAAGCTCCTGAGGGCCACCTACTGGGTCATGGCAGAGGCCCAGGTGACATCCCTGAGAGGAGGAGGAGGTGGTTCGAGCTGGTTTATCCTGCCCCATCTTTCAGGTGGCAACGGATGACCTCCGAAGGTCCAAACGTTTCTCTACGGAGCTGCGGCTCCTCACGTTGGTGCCACTCCTCTTCGCTGAAATCTGGGAAGAAGAAGGCAATTTCCTTGCTAGCTGAGGCTGCAGAGTCTGGGGGGGAAGGAGAGAAGAACAGAATTAACAGAGTTGGAAGGGGCCTTAGAGGTCTTCCAGTCCAACCCCCTGCTCAGTCAGGAGACCCTCTGCCATTCGGGACAAATGGCTATCCGGTCGCTTCTTAAGAACCTCCATGACTTCAGGAGGCCTTCCGGAGCCACCTGCGCCAGCCTTCCCTAGGGATTCGGCTCTGGAGCTCACCTGAGCCATGGACGCTGTTCCGGGTGTCCGTGAGGCCCAAACTGCCGCGGATGGACTCTGGGGCCGTGTGGCGGGCACGATACACCTTGGTGGGACCCATCAGCCGTCTCCAGCGTGTGATGGCTTCCTCGTGAGCCAGGATGTAAACCCTCATGGGACCGCTGAAAGGGCAAGGAGGCGCATCCGTGAGGCCCGCTGGTCTCTGCGCCCTTCTAAATCCTTGTCCTCCCTTCCCTCTTCTCTTTTCTTTCCTCTCTTCCACCTTCCCTTCCTTCTTCACTTCTCTTCCTTCCTTCCATCTCCCTTCCACCTTCTTTCCTTCCTCCTCTCCCTTCCCTTCTTTCTTTTCTTCCTTCCACCTTTTTTCCCTCCCTTCTTTCCTTCCTTCTTCACTTTCCTCTTCTTCCAT